GATGCTCTATATCATTCATTCATTTTATTTAAATAGTGTAGATTTGATATATTTTTTAAGACAATGTTAATACATGATATATTTTTTAAGATATTGTCGAATCTACACTGTCTAAGTAAAATTAAAGATTTAAATTATTGCAACCTTATTTCCACAAATGTGAAACCTTATATAAACTTTTTCCAAGTATAGTACGGGTTCATCAATAAGTAATTGCATCGATGCCTCTATGGCGTATTTATAAATAGGGATTGTTTATAAAATAAATAATTTATCTTTTGTATATGAAATTCACAATCATTCTTACACATTGGATATCAAATTGGATGGCTTGGGATGAGTCACGAAGTCCGAGAATTATTTTTTTGAACTTTATGTCTATTCACGAAGTCCCAGAATTTTAAGGGACCGAAATGATTGTGATCTCCATATACAAAAAATAAATAATATCTTTATAAACAATCCATCACCAATATACCCCCATCTATTTGCAGTGGCATGTTTTATTCTGGCATGATCATGTGTGCTTGCATCCTTTGTCATTGGATGCATGCATGTTATGTACACATGTATCATGTACATGACCATCAACAATATTGTCTAAGATGATGCTAAGGAAACAACATACTCTTAAGAACTTGAAGCATCGTCATCATCATATCGTCGTGTTTGTTTTTTTTTTTTTTTCAATTAACATAAAAAATTGGTATTATTATGTGTTGACGTACAAAATGTGAATAGCGTCTGTATAATAAAGATTCAAAGACTGTTGATTTTCATCGAACTTTGCCGATATCCAACATCATAAGACTGGAAGTGTATACAATGAGAATTTATTTTAATACAATGAGGTCACAATCATCAATGATTGTTGAATTTGAAATAAAATTCAAATTCAACAATGACATTACATACTTTCATCTATTGTTTGGGCACAAAGTATAAAATAAAATTTCGTGAATGGTGTTACACACTCTCATCTATTGGAGTTTACATCTATTGACTAAAAATGATTGTAACCTTTTTGTAAATGATCTCATAATATATAATCTTAGAGAAAAAAATGTATACAATGGAAATGTATACAAGAATACAGGACTTATAGAGCTATTAGTGGGCCCATGCTAGCCACAGGCTTTTGGGTCAGGTTCAAGCTATGTGGTAGTTGGGCTACTTCCATATTGTCACTTGCAACTCTTACAAATTTAGTATCCTACATGGTTACTTGCAGGTCCACCACTACCTCATATCATCTAAATCATCATCGTCAAAGCCTTCTTTCCAACTAATTGGGATTGACTACAGAATTTCTGATCAGCTATTATGTTTTATTAAAACCATATCCTCAATGAAGCTATCTCATATCATCTAAATAACAATCATAAGTTTTTCAAATTCTTAAGCCTCACACAATATAAGGTATGAATCGCATAATGTAGATGTAAAATCATTGGTCTTTTCCTTATCACTTCAAAGCATGTCTACTGTTATTATTTACCAAAGTGATAATCTGAACGTTAGATTTTTGTCATATCAAATCCCATTAATTTCATCATCTTAATTTATGTGTAACTAGTTTTGGGTATAGGTACCCTTTTGTTGGAGGTCGTTTAAGCTTTTTGTAGGAGTACTCCAGGCTATTTCAATATTGTAGCACTTGGTATTTTAATATTGGCTCCAGATAAAAAAAATACATAGTAATCATGAGTCCTAGAACCGATATCCACCTTTCGGAAAACCTAGCCTCCTCCATCCCTTAGGAGCAAGAAGGTGACTATAGGAATATTTACCTGTTGTCCATTGATTACACAAGTTCCCTATATCCTCTCCTATAAGTTACCCACCCAACTCTCTTTCCAGTCCCCGTGTTTTTCCTTCAACATTTGTAGTGTTTGCACTAGCTAAATCCTTGCCACACATGTACCTCCACCAAGGACCAGATTTTCTTTACATAGAATCATTAAAAATTGAGAGAATAGCAGCATCTTTGTCATGAACCTAATTATAATATGAAATAAACCCGTGGATCTCTTTCAAGAAAAATAACCTTTAACCCCCTACTTACCCTTTTCAGAGTTCAAATGGTAACAATTTTTTTTGTTTTTTTTTCTAACAACCCAGTCATCCAAAACCCTAACACGCTCCTCTCTCTGCCTCTCTCTCTCCCTCTCCATCATCTTTGAACTCCTTCCTCCCTCCCTCCATCTTTCTCTCGCTCATCTCATGAACATCACATGTACTTTAAACATAGCATCCCAAATTTCATGTAGATGATGAATCATTAAAAAAATAATAATAATAAATATTGTAATTTGAACAATGAAAAAGACATAATGAGCTAAACATATCTTGCTTTTAATTTGGAGGTGGTCTATGAGCTTTCCATAGATTTAAGAGTTTATTTGGGATTACAATTATCGAGAGAGCGATATACACATTTTTTCTTGGTTGCTATGCTTCTTTTTCCTTCTAAGTGGGGTAGGCCTGATCTAGGTCTGAGTCCGGTAATATTTTAGGTCACAATATATAATTTATATTTAAATATACATCGATATTTTAATTTTGACGGCCAGGGTCCCAAACCCGACCTAACCATTGCCACTCCTAATTGGAATCATCTAACCCCTTAAATAATTTTATAAAAGGTTTCAACCCTTTTTAATGATATTTTTCCATATTTCTATTATTTGTTACAATGTATATACCATTGTTTATCAAGTTTAAACATACCACCAAACTAGTAAGGGATTTGATTTAGTCAAAACTAGTTCAAACCATAGTTAATTGGACCCACATTTTAGAGAAATAAAAGAAAAATGGAAATAGTAAATTAAAAATACAAAGAACTTTAAAAGAATTTGAATATATATTTAGCCAATCTGACCCGTTAATACCCACGAGTTCAACTAGCCAAAACCGGACAAATATCTAATTTAAACAGTTTTCAACCAAGCCTAGTTTTTGTTTTGGACCTAGTTTCTATGTGGCCTAAGCCCGCATATGTAGAAATGTGGGCGTCTTTATAAATCTATTTTTGAGATGGATTTTAAGACCTAATTTTTAAGGCCATGTAATCTCTAATATGGAGATAATGAATTTGAATAAATAAATAAATTTAAAAAGCTAGAAATAATAATTTTAGTAAGAAAACATTTGGACCGTTAGTTTTCATTGTTTTTAGATAGAACACCTACTTGCATCGCAAACATCTTTGATGCTTGACCCTTTTTGGACCGCATATGTAGTCATGCGATCCAGTCCGCATGAAACAATTTTCCTTTTGCTTTAGATCGGACAGCAGTCCCCACTGATAGGATAGTGTAGTCTATTCCTGCCATTGATAACTACCGTGTTTATGAAATATGGGTATTTCACTAACTGTATGTTACTTTATAACCAAGTTACTTTATAAACAAGAAAAAAAGAAGCTCAATGACCATGGGAAAAAGTTTATCTAAGGTTATAACCTTAAAATGTCGAATTAAAATTGCACTTTAAAAATCCATCATAAAAGATCGAAAAACCCTCTAATCAATCATCTCAACATCGAAATGCATGAATACAAAAAGAAAAAGAAAGATTTTCAATCCGCAAAACAATATATCTTGCACCACATTATCTAGACCATCCATTTTCAAGATTTTCATATACTTATAAATCAATTTGATTTGAACCATTTTTAGAATTTAAAATTTTATAATTAGAGATGACAATAGATTCTCAATCCATCCTAACAATTTTTTATATCAAAATTATATTTATGATAAAATTTAGAAGTACGCCTTAATTGGATTGTTTTAGGTTGCAACCTTATGCAAACCACACCCATGCCCAAGATTTATTCACAAATTGATAAAAAAAAAAAAAAAAAATTTAAAAAGTCCAAAATCGAGCATCCAAAGTAACCTTGCTTTCATGAAAAATGGGTCTTTCAAAGACCTGCATTGGACGATAATGGCACAAGGGCAATACCATCGAATTGCCGAAGCTCACGTGGCTGGACGTACCTTGTTCTTAGAAAGGCTAACTCAAATGCTGTCTTGTTTTATTTTCTTTTATTTTAACTTTGTTTTTTGAGAAGTTCAGACGTAAGAATCCCCCCCCCAAGGCCAAGCCAGACTCCTAAATGCTTATTGTTTTAGAAAACCCCAATCCCTTCTATGCACTAAGTGGAAAAGTAGGATACATCTCGTCAATGATTTATGGTATTTTACATGGTTACTTTCTTTCTTTTTTTTTCTAAAGTTAACTTGGAACCTGGTAAAATGCAACATTCTAGTACCTTCCATTCTTTGCCTAGAGCCCATTCTCAAATCTACCATTCGAGATGAAAAGGGCTGGAGTTGAGGTGGTAGCACCCACATACTTCAATCTCTTAGTTTCCATTCCAATTGACACCACCCTTTGATACCTTCCAAAAACTAATTCCTCAACTATTTCAAAAAACGAATAAGGGCTCGTCTTCCCCAAATAAAAAAGAAAAACAAAATCTACCATTGTACTTGAACTAGGAGATGTTTGGCTTACTCTCTACTTTCCAGAAAGGGTGGCAACGGGTCGCATATGGGTGGTGCGTTGTTCCAAATCCCGCTTATTCTGAAATGACGAAAAAGATAAAAGAGAACCATTTTCCCTTATATATCTCAAGCAATCAGGGAAAGAGGGACTGAGAGACGAAGTGTGGTCCATCCAAACTGGCCCTAATAGAGTATCTGTGACCCAAACAACCATGCGTTCCAGACATTGTGAAAGTGCATCAAATGACCAAATTGGGCCCGGTCTCCAGTGCATGAGCACAAAATGACCAGAACAACCCTACTCAAGCAAAGGCAAATTATACGGTGAGAAGGTATCCATCCTAATGGCCACAGAACCCTATCCTCGAGCCATGGCATCCAAGTTACACCAATACCCCTGGACCAATATGACCCTACATTCTGGCTAAGGCATCCAAAAGGATAAAACAGACATGCTCGGGCAAATGTACCAATCGACCAAAATAACCTAACTTTCTAGAAAAGGTATACTGACCAAAATATCCCTACTCTGAGGGGCACCAACCTGTACAAATGGAACGGGCTGAACCGAGAAACAGCTATGCCACGAAAAACCCTTGTGTAGGGGTGGGGGTCGTCGTCCCATTATACTGAAAAAAGAAGAAAAGCCACGTCGATCGATCAATACACTTAGAAAACAAAAGAATTACACGAGATGCCGAAAAAGGATGGCATATAAGAAAATGGGGCCCCTCAAAGCCAAGGCGGGTTCAGGTTGAAGGGAACCACTGGCCCTGGTGGGGCCCATTAATGTGGCCATTTCCTTGCATGGGGTGGTGGTGATGATGGTGGTGATGGCCATTAGGGATCAGAGGGGGAACACCAAGAGCCATAGATGGTGGTGGTGTGCCAGGTGGGCCCCCAAAGAGACTTATTGGTGGGCCTGGACCATGGCCCACAAGTGGGTCCATGTTCATGACGAGGACCTCAGGGGTGGGGCCTGCTGAGGAGGCAGCCTTGCGCTGGTGGAGGAGGGTGTGGACCTGCCGGAGACCTTCCTCGTGGATGCGGGCAACAGTCTCGAGCTCAGTGGAGGAGAGGGCCTCGAGGCCTGCTCCATAAAGGGGAGCGTGGCGAGACATCTCTTCCTGTAGGGATGCCTCAAGGTCCTGTATGTATTTCTGTAAACAGGAGCAATGATTGTTAGAGAGAGAGAGAGACTGACTGTCAAGCAACTGTATAATGGCATACTGCAAGTTAACAAGCTTCACAAGAAGAGGCTAATATTGTGCGTGTCTATGAGAGAGAGATTCACAAGCAACCAATTATAGACTGGCATCCATCAAAACTGTATAGAAAACATGCTTCCACATGATGTAACCCAAAAGAAAAAAATGCTTATGGAAAAGCAAGCTAATATGGTTAGTATTGGCAATTGAAGATGAAAATATCAACTAAATAGGACTCCAAAAGCCATGGGGTTTTATGGTGTGGATGAGGGATACTTTCTGGCAAGAAATTGTTGAAAGGTGTAATATCACCAAAGTTAATTAGGCCACAACCCCACATCCAAACTTTCTTTTATTCATGGGCACGATGGGATTTGAACTAAGAGTCCCTGGGTATCAACAAACTAGGGCCTTACAGTTGAACAATGGAGCAAACCCCCACGATATAACTAATTAACTTGTAGAGATGACTAGAAAAATATTGCCCGTTAATAGTGTGACAGGGCTCAAAATCCTCTATATCAATGACCGACCAGCTGCATGAACCTCAAGTTTACACTATTTGAATTGGCCATTTTCATTCAGATTTCCTTCATTTGTCTAATTTCGCCTCTGCCTTTTCTAGTTTATCGATGTCACATAAATTATTAACATCATAGACTGAAGTATTTTTACATGCATCTATGCTTTTCCAACCACATGCAAAAGCTTCTTAAGGATTTAATATTTAAATGTATTTTAAAAACTTCTTTAGATAATGTACTTTTATCCTTTCTTTGAAGATCACACATTACACGCAATGCAAACAGAGACCCCCTGGGGGTGGGAAAGGAGAAACACAATATCGCAAAGATTCAACACAAACTGTGGAACTTTCCAGGACCCAGGTCATAGAGAATCTGCCTCGTCAATTATTCTCTCTGAATATGTTGAAATGATATATCATAGCCAGGGAAGCGCCTTATCTAGGGGTCGCTCCCGCTC